AAAATTCTACACTTACTAGTCAAGCCTCGTTTCAAAAAATAAAATCAAATGGCATACGCACTACTGCATTTCGTTTTTCAAAAACAGGAACCGGTTTAAGCCCCACTCGATCGAACCAAATGGCTAACTTAAAACCATTAGGCAAGAACAAACTAATACCATTTCCAAAATCTTTAAAGTGAACCTGATTCTTTGAAAAAACAGGCCCCAAAGTAAAAAAAACATTGAGGCACATTCTAGATTCCTTGAACATTTAAAAATAGACAAATGAGGGAATTTTGATTCAATGCTAAGACGGTAAGACCAAACATGAAATTCATATTGAACATTTAAAAATAAACCCCTGATTTAAACAAAACTCAGATAAGAAAAATCCCGATCATACAATAAGGTATCTAATCAATTCAACAAAAACCCATAATATCTTTAAAAATCCATAAATAATGGGAATTATATAATAGACAAATGAGGGAATTTCGAAGAGGACTGGATAGATCAACCAGGTAGATCCAAGAAATTTGTCTCACTACATAAATTATAGAAAGCTGACCTGCGAGAACCGGAAAAGCATAAATGCATCCAAACACGAAGTAAATCAGAGAATAGTGCGAAGGATCTCGAACAACCGGAAACTGAAAAACAACTCAATATCGGATTCAGTTTTACAAGCAAAATGGGTGTCGTCGTGTATGGTAGAAGCAAAAGAGGTAATAACTGGGAAGGCAAAATATTAGAATGATGCCCCCCTTAAATATGATGCCCTGTGCCCAGGCCTATGTGGCACAGGTCCTGGGCCGACCCTGTATATGAGGATAGTGGGGTGAATAACGAACTTAAGATTTTATATTAGAAATATTAGCTTAGAAAATTATATTAAAAATTAAAAATTTAGGAGGATAAAATCAGATTATCGATATTCTTAGACAGACTATGTACATTATGTAAATTTGAGAGTAAAAAAGTAATCTAAGTGAAATCATATACATGATGTAAATTTAATGTAATTTTTTCAACAACTTCTACCTAGGGGAAGAGAAAGATGAATTTTTCTCCTAATGAATATTGAACCCACAAAATTAAAACATAAAAGTACGAGTTTTTGATGTACATCTCCACAAAATTGTAGGAATAAAAAAATGATCACTTTTCTCTAATAATTCTTTATCTCATAATTCCAAAGATTAAGACCTACCTCACACTTGTAGAAAAAATAAACCTGACTAACAATATTTTTTACCTAAATAAATTTGATAATCAAGTAATTTCATCCTCTGTAATTATATCAAAATCTAACTTAATTATTAATTAAATCTCGAATCAATACATAATTATTTTTCTATCGATACAAATTTCATTCAAGCATTACCTCTAAATCTTCAACAACTCCAATTCTTACATAAATAAAATACCAATTAGTATCATTGGATTGATTCACAACTGAAAACATATTGTAACATATTTCTATTGCATGTTCTAAATCTCGTTAACACAATCTATAATAACAAATTCCTTTGAAATATAATGACTATCCATGACTACAGTTATAAGTCTCCAATCATAACTTTAATATCATTTGTTAGGAGTTTAAGAATAATAAAACTATAAAAAAAACAAGCAAACAAATAGGATCATGAAATAAGAATATACAAATTTATATAAAAAAAAATCTAAATAGAAAATCTGAAATAGAAAAAAAATTCACTATATTGAAAATAAATTATAAGAAAGATTCAAAACTTTCTTATTGTGTGTCGGTTGCAAGTTGATGGCTAGCTGGTAGGAAAGTTAGCAAATTGGGGAATGGTTATAGGCGAATTTGTTCTTGCTGGAATCTTGAGGAGTAGTTTTGTTCCCTGAGATTCATGTCATTTGTATTGATGGTTTTTGAGTTTTAATGCTATACATATCTATTCATCGAAAAAAAAATTACAAGAAAGATTATAAAAATACATTAATCTTAAAATCCTAAATATATATTTATAATTTTACAAATACAAAATCTCAAATAATAAATATGTATCGTACTATAAAAGTTATATCCAAATTTATTATCTTTGTTGTAATTTTTAACTAAATGAATCCTACCTAAAATTTATTGAAATGAAGCAGAAGATAGCATAATATCTAACACATAAGTTGTATGAGAGTGTGACCGACAGTCTCTGATTAAAAAGGAAGCAGAGTGTTGTTAGTTGTTGGGTTGGTGGCATTGAGAATTTTGTCATGTTTATGTCTGTGTGGTTGATTGTGCACTGCTTCCTCTTCTTTATTATTTATATTCTTGCCTTTTATCTCTCATCTCTCATCATTCATATTCTTTAATCTTTATTTAAACTTCAACCCTTGTCCTACACCCAATGCTACTGATTATATGCATTCTCATATTATATATATATTTTTTAAAATTTTTGAGAAGTTCCAAGTTCTCATCTGAGTTTGTTTCGACTCTTTACCATAATTATTATTACATTTTTCTTTAAAAATACATTTTTATAATTGCTTTCTTAAGTTTATAAATGGGGTTAAAAATCATGATGCATTTCATTTATCTATCATTTGGTCTAATACAGAATTTTAGTTTATAATATTTCTTTATCCACCAACATAAATTTCAACGAACCTTACATATATCGTCACATTAAATACAAAATTAACATAATAAGTGTCAATCATCTCACTAATATCAACATCGTTATTGAAAGATGATTTGTATATGTTGTGGGAATATAAAAAATAAAGATTTTTTTTTATTAAATCTTTTTTTGTTTCAACGATAAATTCATCTAATTAAATATTTTTTAAATGACATATTAAAATATTTGACATCATAATAAACAATAATAAAGAAGTTGTCATCATAAAATTAGTAAGTAAACGTTTACCGCTAAGAGATTGTTATATTGAATTTTTTTTGGATAAATAAAAGAATATTATTACTCAAAAGGGAGCAGTAAACTGCAACAGTAGATGCATCAAAACAATTACAGTACAGACATCAAAACAGATTCAGTCATCAAAACAATCAACGTGGAGCATGAACAACCAACATAGAAGGTTAGTCAATACCCCATTGAATACAAAGAGAGATATTAACTCTATCTATTTTATTGATTATCCTATTTCTTAGTTGAATTCTAACAAACTCCTTAATAGTTTTAAGATTTTTATCAACAGTTCTTGAGCTTTTTCGGAATAGCCTTTTGTTTCTTTCTTTCCAAAGAGAATAAATAAATGCAGTCCATGCAAGTTTCAAAATATTTATAAGGAGGGAGTTACATGTACAGGTACCACATGCCCAGGACATTAGATGATCCCAAGACAATGAAGATCTCCGTAAGCCGGTTAGTAATTTGTTATTTTGAATTGTTAATTTCTTCACTTGAGATATTAGAGCTTATCTTTCATCCGACAAATCAATCTATTTATAAACATCGAATTTGAAACTTACAACCCCTAGACTTGAAGTGAAAATAATAACACTATAGTATTGTTTTCTGGTGATTCTTGGTAACAATTAAAATAATAGGTTTAGGATTGTTTAGGATGGGTTTTATTTATTTTTGGTAGCCTCCCCAATTATAAACATTCGTTTCTCGCACACCTGATTTTAGTAGTTGAGTTTAATTTTTTTTGCATATATAAAGAATCAAATTCGAGACCCTACTTAAGTGATATTAGGTCAATTTTGAGAAAAGTGTTAAATTTAGTTTAATTTGTTAAAAGGAATAGAAAAAAGTAAGAAAATTTGCATACCCAAATTATTTTAGAATAAGGTATTAAAATTTTGGATTTTCATTTTTAATTTATAGATCCGCCACTGTATTAGATTGTTTATAACTTGAATCAACCTTTATTGATATGATAATTTTATTTTAAATATTAAATAATTTTGTTGATTACATTAATATACTCTAACTCCTAAAATTTAATTTAATAAACAACTTCACATGGAATATCACTATCAATGCTAATAAGCCATTAACTATGCCGCATTTATTAATCCCAAATACGAAAATCACTTATTATTTCAGTTTAAAAAATAAAAATAAATAAATAAAATAAGAAAATGCCACGTATGCTATTGCCAAGGCCAGCTCGCAAGTAAAAGAAGGCAGGGCTTTAAGCTTAAGTTCCCTCTCTCTCGCTGGAAGCTTCATTTGTTGCTTTAGCTTTTACTCTCCATCTTACTTTCCTTCTTTTTATACAGAGAGATAATCAGATCAGATCTTTCAGGAAAAAATATATTGTTGTTTTTTTCCCTTAATTTTTAATATTACCGCTACCAGTTTTTTCCTGAAATTCCTCCACATTTTCCCACAAAAAGTTTCTTTTTTGTAGTTTTATGGTGTTTTTCTTTTTCATTTGAGTTCTCTCTCTCTTTCCAATTCTAGAGAGATTCGATGCGGTTTGGTGTTTGATTGATAGATTCCCACCTCTGGAGTCTTATCTGTGGGTGCGTTTTTTTAATTTATCTTGCTTCTTAATGGTGAGTGGAAATGGAGAATTGGGGGATCCGTACGATTTTGATGTGGTAAATGATGAAGCATTGTATCGTAAGAGATTTGAATGCGTTGCGGCGTTATTCATCTTTTAATAGCTTTAACTATGCGTTTACTCTTATTTTTGTTAACGCTTTTTTCTTTCACCGCTGCCAAACACTTCTCCTTTGTTATACTTCCACTGAAATTTGACGATTTCATTTTTTTTTTTTTTTGCTTAAAGAGGAGAAGAGATTTTCCATTTTTGGGAATTGGGAATTTATTTTATAGCTTCAGCAGTCGTGAGGCAGAATTAATGATAACTGAGAGAAAAAGCGTATTCGATTTCATTTGTCCAGATCTGATAATCTCTTCATTATTTATTGCCACATCTCTACTCTAAATTTCATTTCATTTTAGGTTTACTTTTTTCATAAATTTTTCTTCTTTTTATAATCACTGCTTCTTCATATAAGATGATTCGTTTTCTTTTGTTTTCTAATTGTTTTCCACAATGTGCAGATCAGGATGGTTTTTTTACATTCTATTGAACAACATTAATAGCTTCAAAGACCAAAAGATTTTCCTTTTCAATTGCGCAGAGATGTCAGGTATATTAATTAATCCTGCTATATGTTTGTTGCCTTTATCATAAAATCATTTATATCCTTCTAATTTATTGTATTGGGAAAATGGGTGGAAGAAATTGGGGCAAATGATGAGAGCAGAGATAGAAGGTCTGATTTTGATAACTCTGAGGATGAGAGGAGGAGATCCAAAATTGGGAATCTGAAAAAGAAGGCCATAAATGCATCCAACAAGTTCACTCATTCTCTTAAGAAAAGAGGGAAGCGGAAAATAGATTACAGGGTCCCTGCTGTATCTATTGAGGATGTAAGGGATGCAAAAGAGGAGGGTGCCGTTCATGAGTTGCGTCAAAAGCTTCTCCATGAGGATTTGTTGCCACCTAGGCATGATGATTATCATACTTTGTTGAGGTAAGTTGTTGCTTTTGGCAAATTCCACTGTTGCCTACTCACTAACATATGCTGATTAATGCTACTACTCTTTTAACTTGTAGATTCTTGAAAGCTAGAGAGTTTAATATTGAGAAAACAATCCAGATGTGGGTAGAGATGCTTAAATGGAGTAAAGAGTTTGGAACAGATACCATTTTGGAGGTGAGGAATGTTTAGTTTGTTGTATTTCTTTCATTGCTTGTTTATTGGAAAAGAGTTAACAGATAAGACCTAAAATGAATGTATTGCATCACATTTGACTAGTCCAAATAGCCTGGCACCCTTAATTATTATGTTTATTTCCATGAAGGGCTAGGATTATATTTTGATTTTTCTTTAATTATACAAAGTTTAACCTTTTATGGAATGAACAGGATTTTGAATTTGAAGAGCTAGAGGAAGTATTGCAATACTATCCCCAAGGGTACCATGGAGTTGACAAGGAAGGGAGACCTGTTTATATTGAGCGGCTAGGAAAAGCCCATCCAAGTAGGCTTACGAAAATCACCACCATAGATCGATATCTGAAGTATCATGTCCAAGAGTTTGAGAGAGCTCTATTGGAGAAATTCCCTGCTTGTTCAATTGCTGCAAAGCGACAAATATGTTCAACAACTACTATATTGGATGTACAAGGACTGGTATTTAGCTCTTATCTTTATTGTTCAACAAATTGATGTTTGACAACATTAATAATACCATTCTGGTATAACTTTGCTAGCCTTGTAGCTTTTAGAAAAAAATTGCATTGTTATTCCACTCAACATTTTTCTTTTATGCATGGGTCTAGACTAGAAATGAATGCAAAAGCTTATTATTACCTTGATCTTTCCTATCGCATCATTTCAATGATGACTTGGAACAGAGGCACTAATGGAGCGTGTGATAGGGTCTGTCATATTTTCTGTGGGATGTTGCAATATATTCTTCCGCTGGTGATTGGTGTTATTGTTCCCTTTATTTCAGCCAAGCGGTAGAATTATAATCACTGATTAAATGTTGTTTTTGAACTGCATACCATTTTTTGTTTCCTCTAAAGCCAGCCAAATCGTAGGATTATAATTAATGATTAAATGTTGGCTTTTGAAGTGATTGATGTTCCCTAATTGGTGATTAAATGTTATTCTTGAAAGTAGAGCATGAAGAATTTTAGCAGGACTGCTGCAAATCTTTTGGCTGCCATGAGTAAAATAGACAACAGTTATTACCCTGAGGTATCTGAACTGATCCATTCATGTTTTTACTTTCTGTTGCTATTTGGAATGTAATTCTTTTTTTATATTGCTTTACAGACATTACACAGAATGTATGTAGTCAATGCTGGTCCTGGATTCAAGAAGATGCTTTGGCCTGCTGCTCAGAAATTCCTGGATGCAAAGACAATTGGGAAGATAAATGTATAGGATATGGCTTTAGGCATTTCTTTCTATTTTTTTTTTATCCTGCTCAGTGTTTATTCAATGCTCTATTTGCTAATTGTAGGTCTTGGAGCCCAAATCTCTCGGTAGGCTACTCGAGGTCATCAACTCTAGGTCTGTTAAATATCTGTTCATTCTTATCCTTGATAGAATTTCACCCTATGATCTCTCCTAAGTCCTTTCTTTTTTCTTCACCTCTTTCAGTCAATTGCCAGATTTCTTAGGAGGGTCATGCAGCTGCTCTACAGATGGAGGGTGTCTTAGATCCAATAAAGGTCCATGGAATGATCCAGAGATAATGAAGGTAGCCATCCTTTTAGTCCTTGGAATGGTTGATAGACATGATTTAGGTTTTACTGAACTTTTATCCGGAGACTAATATGTGTACTATTTCCATTGATAGATTGTACATAATGCGGAGGCAACATTTGTGAGGCAAATTACTAGTGTATCGAATGACCAGCATAACTATGAATCTTATATTCAGATACGACCACTAAAGGCAAGTATTGTGTCTTGTGATCATTCAGGGCATTATTATTCAGTGATTATAATACATTCTCATGCATGTGTTTCAACATATACTCTGTCAGGGAATGACTAGTGACACATCAGTAGCGGAGTCTGGGTCAGAGATGGATGACCAGTGTTCTCCAATTGGACGAACAAGTTCTGCGTTTTCTTGTTTGTCACCAGTTCGTGAAGAAGTGAGTTGCTAAAGCAGAGAAATCTGTTTTATTGGTAGGTGATGTGTGTTTCTGGCCTTTTTAATAAGTTGATTGTGATTTATGCAGGTGAGGGTGTCAGATCCAAATGCTTATTATAGTTGTGATGATGGTTTCCCTGTGATTGAGAAAACTATAGGAAGTACACAAGGACTGACATATTCCCCATATCAGTTGCCCAATTCTAGTAATGTGGATAGCCAGTCTCATGAAAGAGCATCTTCTCGTTCAGAAGGTATTTGAAAATGTTATTACATCACAGTAAGAGTTTCTTGTTTACTATTTGATTTAATGTACGATGTTGATAATTTACCAGAATATAGTTGATGGATTTTTTTTATTATAATCCCCTCGCCTTGGGATTGTCTTACACCCATCTAAATTGGTATTGATTTCAGGAACTTCAATCACACATTTGTTGGACACTGTTAAGGAAAAGTTTGGGAGAAGGAATATTCATTCTGTGGCAAAAATTCTAATAGCTTTATTGGTTAGACTGGCTGCTTTTATTCGCACCGTTCAATTTGAATCTTGGAGAAGGCCAAACTATATTCATCCTTCCAATACAATGGAACCCAACACAAATAGCCATTCAAATTCAACAGTGCTAGAAGCTGTTAAGGAAGAAGACCATATCCGTCCTTGTATTGAGCGTCTTCAGAAACTCGAGAAAGCATTTGAAGAACTTAGCAACAAGCCTCCTGTTATTCCCGTAGAAAAGGAGAAAATGCTCATGGAATCTCTGGACCGGATCAAATCTGTCGAGTTTGACCTTGACAAAACTAAGCGAGTATGGATCATCTTGGTTGCTTTATAAAATTCAGAGGCTCAGAGGCGGGATTTTGATTTCAGTGTTGATAGGTTTTTTGACAATGGTGTCATTTTATACAGGTCCTACATGCTACAGTAATGAAGCAACTTGAGATTGCCGAGTGGCTGGATAATATACGAGCATCTAAATATCGAGTAAGTTCCTTTCTCCATAAAATAGTTTAATTCTATAGTCTTGGAATCTTGAGCTTGATCCTATTCTGATGAGGTTGCATGTGTTTAATATTCTGTCAAATGAGATAAGAGTTAGCAGAACGAAAGGGGTAATCAAGAACTAATAAGCGAAGCCATTGATTGATAATTTCACACCAAATGAAAAGGAGGAATTTAAGACCTAAACTATCTAGTTAATCTGTTTGCAGATAATAATTGTTATGGAGTTTTATGAACAGAAATATGGAGTCTAGCCTCTAGATCGAAATGCTGGTTCATTATGTTGGTGTATATAGAAATTGTTTTGAAGTCACTGTTTAGTCGAATCGAAGAGTGATGGATGTCTGCATACTTGCTGGCTGTTGTTGCAGCAACGAAGATTGTTTTTATGTGGAGATTGACAGATGTTCTAGGCGACGTTGGATTGAGGCTCTAGGAGTAGGAGGTTGATGCTGACAAAGTTCATCTGGGGCCAGCTTTGGCTGCAGCACAGCACAGCACAGTTGATGATGAATCATAGGGGATGGACAGTGTCCTTTTAGCTTCTTCTTCATCTCCTTTTAACCACCTACTGTAAGTACACCATGACTGAAGTTATAGTTGTGCTGTACGGATTTTTCCGAATCACAGCTTTGAGACTGTATGTAGAGAAAAAAATACATTTACGTATCTTGCAATTTACACATGCAGCAGGATTTTTGTTTCGTGTTGGAATGAATATTACCATGCCCTGCTTTAACTTTAAAATACAAGCTTGTAAAAATGGAATTGTGAGACTGAAGACCAGACCTCGAAACAAAGCATGATCCATTATTATTTATAGAAGCTTTGCTTAGGTGAAAGGAAAATGGTCCATATGCAGGGAAATGATCCGAAAGGAAAAAGAGAGAAGGCGTGGTCTCCATTAACAGCAAGACAGCTGAGCTGAACTAAATTGTTTTTGGAACATCAGTCAAGTATATAATATAAACCAAAAAAATAATACCATCCATCCATTTCATTGATGGTGATGATATACATGAATGATTATTTTGTTAGGATATCATTAGCTGAACTCATCAATAAGTTTGATAAACCTTTGTAAATGAAATAAAACGATGATGTAGTGTCAGAGGAAAGTTGAGATGTGCAAGCAATTCAGGTTATTAACAAACAAACATTAAATCAATTCACCAAAGATGTTGGATTTGTCTATTATGTATATTTTGAATTTGTTTTAGGTATATTTCGTGCATATTACATAATGTAAAATTACACATATAATAGGACTATAACTAATTTTACCGTTCCTTGTTTGGTTAATATAATATTACAGTCCTATTTTGTAATAATTTTTTACCTAATGAAATTTTGATAGTCACGAGTAATTTTACGTTATCTTATTTGTTTCATTAATACGATGTGTGATTGAAAGAATATTAAATATTAAAAATATTTACTTTAATTTAATTGTGGTTGTTATATATTATTTAAAGGTATTAATGATTCATCAAGCCCTTGAATTTATGCAAAAATAAATAAATAAATAAAAGTGACCTTTAAATTTTTTTGCATTCAATTAAAATTTTGAACTCATAAAATTAATTAATATGGTCTTTTTATGATAAAAACTATTATTGACTGTTACGATATTGACTTTAATACAAGATAAATAAATTGAGAGATTAATTATTTTTTTAGAAAATTTTAGTGTTTATTTAGTTTGTAAGAATACAAATTAAAATTTTATTTAAGATATAAAAATATAATAATTTATTAAAATATTAAATTATTAAATAATGAGTTATTAAAAATTAAAAATATTTATAAAATATTATTTTTTCAAAATATTCATAATGTTCCAAAATAAATATTAAAATTTTGTATCGAAATTTAAAATCATACTTTATAATTTCAAATAATACAAACTAAACGCCTTTTAAATTCACTTCATGCTGGTGGGTCGCACAGAAGACTAATGCCCCCATGTTAGTTTTGGACCCAAATCATGGTCGATTTATGAGTTCATTGTTTAGACATTTTCAAACTATTGATCCCAGTTTCCACAGTGAAAATTATGATCATCATTTGTAGTTAATTAATATAATTGGATGATGATGTTACGCTCGACGAGTATATATAAGTATTGTTAATGATAAGTATCATTAGATTAATTTATAAAATCATTAAATTATAAAGTAGTAAACATATAATTATAAATTAGTTAAGAATATAAATGTAATTTAATTAAAATACAATATTTATAAAATATTCTAGGGTAAATTGTACCATTGATTACCTAACTATTTACCCCTTTTACTTTAACTACCAATTTTTTAATTTTGTCAATTGGGTCACCTAACTAATTAAATCTTGTCAATCAAACCACATGCCGTTAAATATTAACGGATATTAACGGATGAGATGACGAGGCAGTTAACAAAATTCATATAATTACATATTTAATCCTCATTACTTACACATTATATTAATTTGGTCCTAACTTTTATTTAATTCAATATATTTAATACTTAATCCGATGGTGATATGTATCACTGTGTGATTGGATTTTTTTTATTTTTTTATTTAATAATTTTTTCATCCAATCAAATGGTGCCACGTGTCACCAATTGAATGAATAAAAAATAAATTAATCAATAACTGTTGTTGGTGGGGTTTAAACCTGGGATTCAAGCCGAAAAACTAAGCATCTTAACTACTAAGCCGGACTACTAAATTTGTCTAGCATACATAACATAATATATATAATTTATAATATAGTTAATGGTAGCAAACGACCTTGTAAGTTCTCAAACATGAAATAATTGAATAGTATGAAAATATAAAATATATATAAACTATTAAGATAAAACAATAACTATCACAAAATTAATAAGGAAGATAAGAGAATTTAGAAATATTCCATAACTGTATATTATCATTGAAAAAGATTAACTCTCACAGCTAGAGAGCATACAGCTAACCAGTCGGTTAGTTACATAACAAAAACCCTAACAACTTATAACCAACGCCTAACAAACTCTTGCAGAACGTGAGGTTACTGATCACGTGAGACATCGGCAAACCCGAGGTAATCCAAGGTCATACTATAACATAAATAAATATTATAATTAATTAATAAAAGTTTGTTTTATTTATATTTTAAATCACATTTACTGTAAAAGTAAAAATGAATTTAATATGTTATAATTTTAATGTATCATTTTACATATTTTAATTTAATAAATTATCTTCGTTATTCTAATTTTATTGAACTGAAATATATTATATATTATATTTTAAAATATTATAATATCAATCAGATTTTAATCTTATTTAACAACTCTATATTAAAATAGACTAATTCAATAAAATCAAGTTTCCCATAAAATTTTCTTCAGATATATTATGAATAATTAATAAAATATAAAATTCTTACTCTAATCGGGATATAAATAAGTCAATGTATAAGTTAAAATACTTACTACGATAGGCCTTTAACTATTAGAAAAATTATAAGTCAACGAAGCTCTTCGTTATATTTCAATTATAATATATTAAAATTATTATTTTTATTTCAATTAAAATTATTTAAAATATAAATAAAATACATTAACATATTAAATTTGTGTGTGTGTATATATATATATATATATATATATATATCATATTATCGTATTATTCAATTATTTTGTGTTGGAGTTCTTATTAGGTCATTCTCCTTTTTTATTGTCATTAACTATATATATTATGTTGTGATAGATTTGTTATTTGAATGGTGCAGCCAAATGGTTGGGGCGTTATCTTCCTCTCTTCATGTCTTGGGTTTAAACCCTACCAGCAGCAGATATTGATTTTATTTATTTTTTATTGATTCAATTTATTTTTTATTCATTCAATTGGTGATATGTGACACCATTTGATTTGATGAAAAAATTATTAAAATAAATAAAAATATTAAGAAAAAAATCTAAACACATAGTGACACATGTCATAATCTAATTAAGGATTAAATTAATTAAAAATTAGGACCAAATTAATAGAATGTATAAGTAATGAGGACTAAATATTATATAAATTTTATTAACTACCACATCATCTCCTCTATTAATATTTAACGACAGATGACTTGATTGACAAGATTTAATTATTTAGGTGACCCGATTGACAAAATTTAAAAAATCGATGATTAAAGTAAAAGGGTAAATAGTTAGGTGATCAACGATATAATTTACCCTAAAACTAATGTTTTTATAAATATTATTTTTAATTAAATTACCTTTAGATTTTTAACTAATTTATAATTATATATTTAATATTTTATAATTTAATTTTTATAAATTAATTTAATAATATTTTTCGTTAACCGTTTCGATATAATTATTAGCATAATAACTTTTCATCTTCTAATCCTTTCAGCCGCTTCTTCTTGTACTTTTCTTTGCAATATTTAGACATTCGGGAAAAAAAACAATCAAATTGAGTTGAATGGTAAGAAATTTAAATTCGAATTAATGTTTAAAACTTAAGAAACAAATTTAAGTATTAATGTAACAAAATGTTAGGAATTATATCAGAAAAATTTAAATTCAACGATTAAAAATTATTTTATCCGAAGAAAAAATCCCACCCTCGTTCGTAGTTAGTAGCTGGAAGAAGGGGGAAAAAAAGCAGTGATGAGCTGTTTTGAATTTTCAATGAAAACACGGCTTCTTTCCTGCTCTGTCTCTCTCTGTCATCTCTTATTCTTTTATCATCTCAAATTCCCATTAAAGACTTCATAGTTTCAGCAATCCAGCTTTCTCCCTTCTTCTATTGCTTGAACTTGAACCAAGAAAAAGTAAACAGAAGCTGCTGCAAGATTAAAGAAGCTTCAATTTGTGTAATACTCTGCCCCCTTAAACTAGAGAGGCAGATCTTTTGCTAAATCGTCTAAAGAAAAAAGGAAGTTGATGGGGACAAATAAATTGTTGTCTTCCTTTGCAGTTTTCTTCTTTTTGTTGGGTTGCTCTGCTTCAACTTCAATTTCAGGTATTTTTATCAATAAATTTCACAGCTGTAGTGCCTTTTCTGAGACCCATTTTGTGTTTTTTCTATTATGTGATGATTTGGATGACTGCAGATGGTATTTTCAGCTCTTTCACTTCTACCGGAAGGAATCTCCTTCAGACCAAGAAAGGTTCTTTTTCTCTTCTCTTTTGTATGTAGTTTAAGATGAGATTGAAGTGTTTGCTACCAGATCTGATGCCTGGGTTTGGGTATTTCGATTCTTGTTGTGAGCTCATTTGAGATCTTGCATCATTTTAGGCAATTACATGAGTTTGAAGCACAAATGAATATGATTTTGGCTAGTTGGAAATCTTTACCATGGGGAGAAACTGGTTGAAGGTAGGAGAAAGGGATCTGATTGCCTTTCTGGTTTCCATGAAACTGATGACGTGAAATCTGCTGATTAGGTGTTTGCTTCCATAGATGCACTACTTGAACTGAAAAAAAGAAGAAGGTATCTGACAGTGTTTTCTGGGTTCATCTCATATTTTGAGACCAGCTATTGAAGGAACAATTGACAAAGCTTATCGTTAATCAAGCCCTTCTCTTCGTAGCAAAACAAACAGTTCATCCTTGAAATCTTTTTTTTTTCTATGGAGTTCTCAAGTGCTCTCATTCATTTGATGTTGCCTGCTAATGTCTCATAATCCTTTGCTAGGGAAAAAAATCAAAGTGCATGATAATGTTGTGTTTTTTAGAATGCAGATTTTGCGAGGCCTATCGTTTTTTCTTTGTGCTAAAGCCTAAAGGTGACTCTAGGATTTGCAAACCGATTAGGCGAACGTTAAAATCATCAGATTTATGTCTCGAATTAGATTTGTTTCCCCTTCTTTTGTATTCGTGTCTGACACATATGTGGACATGGGTATAGGGAGAAGACCCTCCAAATACATATTAAAAAAAAACTTAGAGATGAAATTGGACAAATAACCATGTCCAACACACTCGTTCGAGTAAGACTAACATAACACTTAATACCATCCTCCATATTTGACCAAATATGTAGATATCTTTTGCTTGGCTCATTGAAGATTCCAAAAGTGCAATTCAATGTCTTAAGGCCTTTGCATCACATAATTTGGATATTCTCAGACCGGACAGTTTCCCTTATGATCTCTGAGTTTATAGATGATTATATATATATAGTGTGTGTGTGTATATATATAGTTTGAATTAAAAGTTTTCTTTTTTGGGGGGGGGGGGGGAAGTTAAGTTGTTTAACCTCGAAAGCATTTTTGACATACTATTCCTTGTATTTTGCAGCTTGCCCTGTTAACTTTGAGTTCCTGAACTACACAATCATCACAAGCCGATGCAAAGGACCCAAGTTTCCACCTGAAAGTTGTTGTTCAGCATTCAAGGAATTTGCTTGTCCTTACGCAGAACAGATCAACGACTTGACGACCGAATGTGCTTCGACGATGTTCACCTACATCAATCTTTACGGGAAATACCCTCCGGGCCTTTTTGCTGGCGAGTGTCGTGAAGGGAAATTAGGGCTTGCTTGCCCTGCGTTACCACCATCAGCATCGGAGAACGCAAGCGGTAGTGAGCAGCTGATAAGTAATCTACTGATGCTGGTGATGGCCAGAACCATAGCCGTAGCCATCTTGTTGTGAAAGCCTGGAAAAGAAATCCAAATCATTCCATTTGTTGATTTATATAATATTTTCCCACTTTTTAACATTGCGAAGAAGAGTTATTTCTCATTTCATCCATAATGTTTGCTCTTGGTGCATGCTTTTTATTTGTATTTTCGTTTTGTGCCGACACACATCATACTTGTAGTAATTGAAATTAATTATTTTACTTTTGATAAGGCTAAAATTTGGTGCATGCCTTCATTTCATACATTTATTTATTTCACGTTTGATAAGGCTAAAAATGTTCATAGTTATAATAGTTATTGTTATATCCATTTATAATTCATTTTACTTTTATTTTTTATTTACTAAAAATTATTTTATTACAACTAATAATAAATTGGTTTAGTGGGATGAAATTCTTAAGTAAAAATAGAGTTTAAATCTTGACAATTATCTGAGTTGGGACGATTGCTCCATATTATGTTTATGTAATATTTGATTCAAATTAATCGATTAATAAATTGAATATCGATAATTATATTAAAATAATTAGTTTATTTCACATATTTTTTTAAATGTTGAGTATAAATAATTTCTTAGCACTTGATGTTAAAATTATTATTTTAAATATGTAATATTATTAGAATTAAGAAACAAATATTACTTTTATAACTCTTAGATTTCTTATACTACTAAAATATATTTTATATTTCTTTAAATAAATGCAATTCCTGTGTTGATTTTTTTAATCTCCAGATCGAAGAAGAAGGTCATCTTTCCATCCCATAATCTCACATATTTAAAAGGTATTGTTTTCTTTCTTCTCTTTCCCCCTTGTTGTTATCCTTTCACTGTTTCACGATGCATATGTTGATGTTTATATTCTTCGATCATGATTTTTCTTTGTTTATGTGACCCTTTATGCTAATTGCTTCATAGGTACGTATAGAAATCAATTCCTTTTATTTATTTATTTTTCAAAAAGAAAATTAGGGTTCCTCCCCCACACCAATTTTTGTTATCAATGTTTTTGTTTTTGGATAAATGTTACTATTCTCAATTGAATTTTGTTCTTGTTGTTGCATGGTTGTTTTTGGAGTTTAATATAGTTTTTTGTTGGAATTTCCATTAGGGTTTATATTAATCAGGCTATTTCCCCCCTCCTTTTTAATCATTGTTTTGCTTGCAATTTTAATACAGACCCTAAATTCGTATGTTTATGAATTTCACGAAGATACGATCTCTTTATAGGAGGCAAAACTTTCCAAATTAGGGACCTGGGAAGGTTTTGTAGTGCGCTTCTTCGGGTGTTGCATAGTTTAAAGGAGAAGCTAATTTCTGTATCGATCCTAACATTATTATAGGCTTGGAGCATAATTGAATTGAAAGTATTGCAAAATTTATTTCAGAATTTGGTATGACATTTCCTTAAAAAATAAAATAACCTATGATGGTATTGACTTGTAGGCTATATAACTTTCTAACATGTTTTTCTTCCTGCTGATGTAACTATGCAAGTGTTGTGTTTCGTACTCGTTGAAAAGGGACTTAAGACTATTACTTATATGATGGATTTGTTATTGTTTAGGGCATGTTATTTTCAACTCTTTTTAGTTTTTAGATTGTAACTTGTGGTGGCACTACTCACCATATTATTGTCATTACAGTTGTAAATTTGCCCCATCTGATCAATTACAATCGTCAGTTCATCAGTGTATTTAGCACAATTTTCACTCCTTACAAATCGAAGCCAAGAAAATATTCCAATTCAATGTAGCATGACCTTTTTCTTTGTTGGTATGAACGTATGGTTATTATTAATTTATTATGCATGCTTAAATTTATATTGGTGTAGTTCTATAGGTTGGAATATGTCCCATTACCAAGAAGATGATCCTGAATATATGGAGGAGTATGACATGGAAGACATAGAAGATGACATGGATGAAGAGTTTCCCAGCAGATATATCTCTGGCTCAGACTCTGATGTTGATGAAAATGACTACTCGGTTTGTTTTTTGTTTTACAAGACTCACATGGGCATTTCTTTAACAACTAAGTTCATGAATCGTTACCTTAGGCAAATATACAATATGGCTTTGTTCTAGTATTCTATTATTAATGAACTTGAAGCCCTTATGTAATTTGCCTGTACTGCAGAATAATAAAATATCCGATACTTCTGCTGCTCAAGCTAGAAGAGGAAAAGACATCCAAGGAATTCCTTGGGATCGGCTTAGCATCACTAGGGAAAAATACAGGCAAACTAGGCTAGAACAGTACAAAAACTATGAGAATATCTCTAACTCTGGAGAAAGGTCAGGGAAGGTAAAAGTTCTTATAAGTTGCTCCCTTCCTTATATAAGAATTCTTTGCTCTAATGTTTCGGTGCTAATTGAGCTAAATTTGTATATAGGATTGCAAAAGTACCAAGAAGGGAGCCTCATTTTATGACTTCCGACTAAATTCAAGATCCATAAAATCAACAATACTTCATTTTCAGGTTAGCTAAATGGAAATTTTCATTTCATTAATCAGTTATCGCTACCCATTAATATTATGTGAGGTCATAGAAGTTTTTCTTCTTCTTTTTTCCCTTTTTAAAGAATCATTCTCCTATCTCAAGATGTTTCTAGTAGACCTTTCTTTTTTGTGCGCTTGACTGTGCTGTGATTATTAGTGTTGACTGGTAAACATATCCATTTGTGGTGATGCAGTTGAGGAACTTGGTATGGGCTACATCAAAACATGATGTTTACCTTATGTCGCATTTTTCTATCATTCATTGGTCTTCATTGAAACACAAAAAGCGTGAAATTCTTAATGTTTCTGGCCATGTGGCACCATCTGAGGTCAGTGTTCTGCCAGTGATTTTGCTTTTGATCTGAATTGTTGTTTTCCCCCCTTTTGTTTCCCATATCTTATTTCTTCTGAGATTGAGGAACATGTCTTTTCTTCCTTTAGAAACATCCTGCCAGTCTGATGGAAGGTTTTACTCAAACTCAAGTCAGTACTCTTGCAGTTAAAGATAAACTGCTGGTTGCTGGAGGATTCCAGGGTGAACTGATATGCAAGGTAAGTAGCGTTTTGACTAAAAAGAAAAATGATAATAAAGTTGAATGTCTAAATCTTAACTGTTCCATTTCAATCCATTGTTAGACATGCTAGTCATATGAGTCTTGCTAAATAATTCCATTTAGGTCTTCAGAATCTATGATCTTTGTTTTATTGTTCATTCTGTTCCAAGATTGTTGAGCTTCTTTTAAATTGTTTATTGCTTAAAACTTTAAGAACAGAGAAAAAGCTGAACTTCTTTTTTTAAGAGGTTAGATGTTTGTTCTTTTGGTTGAGTTCTTATTACTGTTTTCCTCTTGCCAATTATCTTAAGAATTAATGTTGATTTTGATCTGGCATGTAGCATTTAGATCGGCCTGGAATAAGCTTTTGCTCCAGGACCACATACGATGACAATGCCATTACAAATGCTGTTGACATTTATGCCACTCCAAGGTATATCTTGTTCCTCGAGCTACTGGTGGTATCGATCACATTCAACCTGAACCTAATTTTTCTTTGTTTTCAAATTACCAGTGGTGCAGTTCACTTTACTGCCTCAAACAACGACTGTGGAGTCAGAGATTTTGATATGGAGAAATATCAGCTTTCTAAGCATTTTCATTTTCTTTGGCCAGTCAATGTAAGTTCCATGTACAGGAGATTCATTTTTTTAGATTGGTACATACACTTAATATTATTCCATCAAAAAATTTTATTCTGCAATATGCTAAGAATTGGTATACTATAATCTCTGCTTATGCATATGCTTTTGCAGCATACTTCTCTGAGCCCTGATGGGAAACTTCTAATAATCGTTGGAGACAATCCTGATGTTATGTTGGTGGACTCTGACACGGGGAAGGTAGTTGTCTAACTTCTTTTGCACCATTTTATTTTATGTATACCCTTTTTTTTGGAGATTTCAAAGGCTAGGACTTGGTGTTTGGCTAATGTGAAATCGTGTTGCAGACTGTTATGCCCTTGCATGGACACTTGGACTACTCATTTGCATCAGCATGGCATCCTGATGGTGTCACTTTTGCCACTGGTAACCAAGACAAAAGTTGCCGGATTTGGGATGTTCGGAACTTGTCCGAGTCAGTTGCAGTTCTCAAGGGAAATCTTGGAGCGATACGGTCTATACGCTACTCATCTGATGGTAGGTACATGGCAATGGCTGAACCTGCTGACTTTGTCCATGTATATGATGCGAAAAGTGGGTATGAGAATGAGCAAGAAATCGATTTCTTTGGCGAGATATCCGGGCTATCCTTCAGTCCAGACACAGAGTCTCTCTTCATCGGTGTATGGGATCGTACATATGGTAGCCTTCTTGAGTATGGCCGACGGAGGAACTACTCGTACCTCGATTCCCTAATCATGTGAGTCGATTCTTATGAAGTATGCAAAGTAAGTGCGTCGCTTGGTTCCTGATGAAACTTGAGCAGTAGAAGAGGGGGGAAAGGCAAAATAAGTGCGTCGGTTTGGTTGATGGTATCTTAGCAGTCAAAGAGGAGTTTAGATGTAAATGTAAAATGTGTTCTGCAACTTTAGGGACTTGCTGTTAAATTAGGTATTGGTTTTCATTTCTGCATAAGAGGTTAATGGGAGGGTATATGTACAGAAGGCCTGTTGATGTGAACAAGAATGATATAGAACTATGGTTCCTTTGGAACTAGACAATTTTATTGGCCGTTTGATTTCTTTTGCTCTTTACATGTGTAGCTTTTTCTTTTGTTGATTACAAATTTTGCGTATCTAGTTGAGATTTGGATTAGAATCCATGATCCAAAACAAACCAGTGAACCAAAGCCAAGTGGACATCCCAAATCCACCCATGTTTCCCTCTTTATATCCTACAAAACTTATTTAATTTCTCTCAATCCATTAGTTCACACTCTGCAAGCACCCCCATGGCCTCAGCCTCAGCTTTGATAACCCCAATCTTCTCCACCACCGCCCATGGCAGCCGCCCCAATATTGCCCCCCCATCATTCCAAGGCCTCAGGCCCCTAAGCAAGTCCCCTTCATCCAAGCTCGCCTCAAACTTTTCATCTGCTAGAAAGCTGGGTGGTGGTGGTGGTGTGAAGGCAGAGCTGAGCGCCCCCGTGGTTATAAGCCTGAGCACGGGTCTGTCCCTCTTCTTGGGTCGCTTCGTCTTCTTCAATTTCCAAAGAGAGAACGTGGCGAAGCAAGTGCCGGAGCAAAACGGGTTGACCCATTTTTGAAGCGGGTGACAAGAGAGCTAAAGAGTATGCTAGCCTTTTGAAATCCAACGATCCCGTGGGATTCAACATCGTGGATGTTCTTGCTTGGGGTTCCATTGGTCATATCGTTGCCTACTATATCTTGGCTACCTCCAGCAATGGCTATGATCCTAAATTCTTTAGTTGAAGACTCTCAAAACTCGTGTTGTTTATGTAATCTATACCATATGGCTTTCTTTGTTTTCTTATATAACCCCTTTTGTAAAAAGTTGTATAGTTTTTGCTTTGATTTTTCTGGGTTCGATTGTAGGTTTAATTTCCTTATTTATTTCTGTGTGTGTTTGGGGGGGGGGGGTTGTTTAACGATTATGTTTATTTTCCTATGGTTGCTTATTTATAAATTCGAAGGGTTCGTGTTCATAATTTTATAAAATTAACGTTAATTAATTATCATTTTTCTGAAAATAACTAAATTATTTTAGTAGTTAAATATTTTTTTACTTACTCGTATTGGAACTGACATCTCCATGTAAATTACAACAACAATGATGCTAATAAATAAAAACTCAATCAACTTAATTATTCAACTATATTTTATTTGGATAAATCTGATGAATATAATGTAATATCTGTTTAAACAATTTTAATATTTTTTACAATGAACGTTGATACCTTGGTATACATGATACTCGAATTCGAAACTCAAAGAATAACAATAAATATCTTAATCATCAAAGAATAACAATAAATATCTTAACTATCTAATTCGTTGGGTTGTGCATTCAAATATTAATAATTAGCAAATTATAATTAAAATGTAAAATATAATTAATAAAAAATGCAATAGAAAATTGATACATGCTAAAATTCACCATAAAATTATTTACACATAATATGCTATTTAAATATGTAAAATATTTCATCAACAAGGATTGGTTTAAGTGGTATATAGTTTGATATCGTTTAAATAAGGTCTCGATTTTGAGTCATTGTATATGCAAAAAAAAAAAACCCTAATGGGAGACTCACCCATCAAAGTCAGATGTGTGATGCATGTCCATCTTGATTAATCAAGACGAAGCTTTGGAACCAGAAGGATAACAAAAAAATTATGTAAAAATATTTCACTTTTTAATATACAAAAAATTATACAGTAAATAAAATCTTAAATACACTTTAAAAATATATATTGTTTATTAACTATCAATTGATATAATCCTTTAAATAATATTCGAGTTTAAATTTTAACGTTATGAATAAAGTAAATTATATTAAAAGAGTCATCTCATAATGAATTTTTTATAATACTCATTCAGATTAATCAATAAATTAAATATAGATAATTATAACATTATGTATACAAGTAACTTTACAGAATAATCAAATTATGAGTAATTTTGTATACAATTTCTTTATTGAGATCATACTTGAAAATTAATTGATTGTTAACGCTTTATTTTGACTGATTGTTTTTTCGTATATAAAGGTCTCGATGTACATAGCATACACTTGGTGTTTAATTGTAGCATTTTCTGCATTGAAAAAAAAAAGAAACAAGTAAACTAGTAAAGCTTGTTCATTCCCTCCCTAATTTGAACGATCACAATTACTGTAGATAAGCTTCAGTTTATGCTAATGCATCCTTGTTACTTACTGCTTGATTCTCTTCATCGATGCGGAGTTTGTAACCTACTACTAACCTGCAAGCTTCATAGTCAGTGCCTTTTTGTTTGATATGATTTAGAATGATGATGCATGAGATGGGAGGCTGGTCGTCCTTTTTCATTTTTGTTTAGGCTTTTAAAGTATGTATCATTTGACTTGTTAAATCAAAAATGGGGATTTGTTTATAATATTTGAATGCATGAACCAAGCAATGTACCCGACACCGAAAGAGATACCAGTTAGGTTTACAAGATCCCTCCAGGCCGAAGTGAAACAGGAGTGTTTATAATGTGTTTTTTTGCAAGCATTATGATGGACTCAAACTCATGCACTAAGGGGAAGATAAAGTCATCTATAAGAAGGTTGGACACCTATAGAGTAATCTGAGAGAAGCCGAGAAACAGGTGGAAGTAGCCATTTATCTGGAATATAATCTGTATATTGGATTGTCTCTGCAGGTTTACTCCTGTATCGTTTCATTCAAGTATTGGAGCTCTCCCAAAATGACATTTATTGATTGGAATGTAGGTTTATGAGGAGAAAGGGATGAAGGATGACGACAGATAGATCACCATTGCTGAAACATTGGATGGGAGATGTCTGTAAAATGTGGTTATATATTTGTCAATCAGAATGCTAGAAGCCTAGAACATCATTCCAGTGCTGTGGTTTCATTTTATAGTCGATGTCCATTTTATGTTCGGAATTCGAGATTACAACAACAATGTTTCGAACATAACACTCGTTGGTATTCCAGTGCTATAGAATAAAAGATGCATAGTGAAGTTGGTAAAATGCTTTCTGGTAGAAAATATGCAATTGGAAGGCATATGGAGATAATACATTTACATGAACATATACTTCTAAACCAGTTGGGTTCATTGTACTTTCTCCAGGGAAAGCGAATGAAATGTTGGGTTGTAAATCCAACTTACGAATCTTAAGCGATATTAGCACAATCCGGCTTATTTGAACTTTGAATACCTTGGAATCAATGTGTAAACTGTCACCTTATTCACCTTATCCCCTTCATCTCCAAATTATAAAAGTTGATGGTAGGTAAAAGAAATCAATCTTTGTCTCATACATTTAACTGTAAATAGAAAAATAATGGAGGCTTGCTCAGATAGACTAACCCTACTACTCAAAGCCAAGCCACCGGCAGGCAGCACTCCTCCATGGCCAGAAGTTTAGAATTGCAATATACATACTTTCACAGAAAAGAAACAACCCTGTATTTGTAGGCAAAATAGTAATATCGAGAAGATAGCTCAAATCAAGTAAAAAGGGATTCCACTTAGTTGGATCATTGCCTAGACACATTAGAATACACATACAGTCACAGACGGGAAAAGACCTATTTTCCTTAAAACTCAGGTGGGGACAACCACCTCTGAATGGGTTGATATCTGCCAGATAAGGAATAAGAACACTAAAACCAGTAATATCAGTTGTGTGAAAAAATATGACATAACCTTACATACTCTCCCGCGCATCTTTAGAACCTCTTCCACGTCTAATATGTTCCCGTGATACTTTTCCAACTCCTTCGCTTGTTTCTTTAGCATTACAGCCTTGCTTTCTACCTCCCCGAGCTTATTCAACATCTGCTCTTGTTCTCCAGCCAATGTTGTTTGTTCTTCAAATACTGCACCTCTCCACTTCTCTATTTCATTGGTTAGAACTAGAAATTCGATTTCGGATTCCATTTTTTGTTGGAAGAGGCCCTCAAGGTCCAGTTCCATTTCTCTATATTTATCTTGTTGCAACTCTGCAGTGCTTGATTCCTTCTGTAACCTGCTACTTTGTACGGTTTCCAGTTCATAAATTCTTGATTCCTTCGCCCGAAGTACAACCCTTGCTTCCTCCAGTTTGCTCTCCAAATATTTTACTTTGTGTGTTAAGGTGAATACCTGAGTTTCCAGGGAACCTGAAGTACCATTTGTTATCTTTTCAGAAGCTAATTGGTCAGATGAGCAAGTTTCATGGATGACCTCATAAGCAAAAGCAGAACCCACATTGACACCGTTAATGCTAACTGAACCATCATGTAGAGGTTCCTTGCCTATATCTCCTAGCTTGTGCAATTCTGCATGGGGATGGGGAGGGGGCATACATGGTCAGCAATTATGCTAGATGAAATGATCAGTACTTGGGTAAAATAGACAATTAACAATTTAACTTCACCAACAATGAAGACATTTATGCTGAAGTCCAAGACTCTTCCACATGATGAAGTTAACCAACAAATATCCATGATGCATTGAAGACTACTGAAACAAATGTGGCAGTGCCATTGTAGCATTGACCACAAACCCGCAAAAATCAATTGGTGCAATTCTCATATGAACAGAACATAATTACTCTTTTATAATGACCAATTCTTGCCAAATGTCCTTTTCTAGTCCAACTTTATTCCTGATGCAATCAGACCTTACCAGATACTTACCATTACTATCAATAGTGAATTATTGGTAACTAGTTCACTAACTTAATAATAGTCTGAAGTTCCCTTATGCTATTCGCATTAGCTTTTTACAGCCCATGTTAACCGCAGCACTACTTGCCCATTACGAAGTTTATTCTAGACTTATCTAAGACTACCAGATACCAGTTCAGCCAAGAACATCAAGGAGACTGGTTTTGAAAATTTCAAAGTTGGCCCCAATGATGAGGACATTGTTATCAGTTGCATTAAGTACTTATAGAAATATTTCCGAAATTCCAAATAAATAAGCTAACTAAAACATGAACAAATTAAGAGGATCACCAAGCTAGACTTGCAGGATATGATACAGTATCCATGAGTAGTAAAGAATATATAAACAAACAATGAGGAGGTTAACCAAAATTTCAGGAGGATAGTACACTCACCATTTTCAAGGGCTTCCTGGACAGACTGGAGTGCAAGAATAGACTGGACCAACGGGTCTTGATCTGGTGAAGGCTGATGATTCTCACCTTTTTCATCTTTATCCTCCCAAGACAATCCTGCAGCTAAATCATCAGGTGAAAGCTCCTCAATGTCACCGGAATTTTCTTTCCTATAAGCAGTTTGAACTTCCTTACTGATCTGGTGTTCGTCTCCTTGTGCCTCATCACTATTTTCCCCATCATAATTCACAGGGTTTCTATGTTTCTTTCCATTACTTGTCACTGAAATTGAACCCTGCGTAAAGATAAAGTTGGAGCTTCTTGAGTCGGATTCCATACTGGAATGAGAGTTTTCCTTCTCGATTTTGACCCTAACTCCTCTGGCCTTCTTGCTGCTTTCAGCACGACCCCTTCCCTGTTGAACTCTTTGACTTGAACTACCCACGGTGTTCCCATTTAAATTCATCTGGTGTTTCTCATGAACGTAGCCTAAAACTGAAGGCAGGTCGTATCTGACCTTTGGCATACTGGCCGCTGTAGATGACTTGCTACTCCGGTCCTCACTATTTTCAGAATCTGTAGCTGAAGCAAAAGCAGCTCCAACAGTAAACATGGAATCTGAATTGGGGCTATGCATCATGAACATATTCATTGGTCCATGAGGGGATCCACTGTTCTGATTGATCTCAGGTGATGCCCTGTGTTGTGGTTTACTTGGATCCAGATTTGCGGAACCAGTCAAACCTCGCTTCACTATTTTACCGCTCTTCATCGTGACAGTGGCATCCTTAACAAAGTCTCGCTTAATCCGCCTCCATTTCTTCAAGCCATACCCTTTGGTGGTAGGAGACGATGACGCACCAGGAGATTTAACTGATACAAGAGGTGAATGCATTGGCTGCACAGTTTCAGCAGTACCCTTTACATGATTATCAGCTGTCAAAGCATTGGATTCGTCAGTTTGATCAGTATCCGACCTCTGTGTCGGATCATCATTTGTGCACGATCCATTATCCTTACTCCCGTGATCATCAGCGTGCTTAATCTTGATTTTGTCATCAGCAGCATGATGTATCGTGTTTTGAGCGGCTTCATTATCCTCAACCAATTCAAGTGTAGAACGTTCGCTTCCTAAATCCATAGCTGTAAATCGAGTTTCACACAAGATACACTCAGATCAGGATCCCCAAACATTAACTACCATTCCACCAAAACCATGTCCAAATCAATTAAAAATTTGAAGGAAAAAATAAAATCAACCCAGCTAGTATTCCCACTTGGGGGAAAAGTCAATGAAGTGAAACAAAATTGAAATACGCCCATCATTGGATGATCAATTAATCATCAATTTCGAATACAAATTAAGGAATTCAAAGAAGCAAATGAGCTTAAATTTTCTATAAATACACATCACGAGAGCATATCACATACTGAATTGAAATGATTAAAAAGAATTCTTGAAAATATAACAAAGTGAAAAAGTAAGATGTAATTAAAAAGATATTCGATTAAAAGTGGTACCTTTTTTTCAAGCAGTCATAGACTGGAAGTAAAGGTTTAGACTCTAAGATGAAGAAGGTTACAGTGATGATAAACCGAAGAAAATGTAAACCCCTGTGGTTGGATTAGCAGTTATATAGGGGCAGGCATATTTTAGGATAAAATACATGGATGACCATTTAACTATTATCTAGATTTTTATCTGACCAATAATCTATAAATATTTTCAATTAAGTCATATAATTATTTAAATGATGTCAATTAAGTCGTTTTTCATTAAAATGTAACAAAGAAATTAACAAGATAGTTAAAAATTAAAATAATTATATATTAAATCTTTACTACTCACGTATTCTATTAGTTTAATTCTAATTTAAAAATAATTTAATAAGATATTAAGAAGTATCAAAATTTTATAAATCTAATTATATATAATTTAACAATTCTATGATAAAATAATGATACGTGACACGTTAAATAAAATAAAAAGAATGAGATAAGAGGGAGATAATCAAACTTGAACAAAGGCTGAACTTTTTTACAGATATAAAACCTGGTTTAGTGGATAAGACTTTTTAATTCTATATCCTTGCTTAAGCTTGTTTCCCCTAAATAGAAGCTTTGAAGATTTAGAAGATGACATCGGTATGTATAACATAACTGATGACGAAGACTGCAGTATACGTGTGGTGGTACTGTTGGAGAAAAGTAGAAGACGATATTAGTATTTGTACAGTAAATATTGAATTTGATAGTACTGGTGTATATTATTTTTGTTCAAGTTTAAGAATAGGTGAAACAAAATATGTTGAATATTGCATCGATAACTAAACGCATTCATCGAGATATATTCGATCAAATAGTTATTGAGATTTCTAAAAATATTATGTTAAATCGGTATTGAAGTGTATCTGATAAGTAAAAGTGTCTTCTATTTATCAGAATTTATTACTAAGTAAAAATATTAAATATGCCATATAAATCTATCCAAATTAATAAGGATAAATTCATCTCCACAAGATTTGTCTTAAGAGGACAAAAGAAAAATCAAATTTATTACTAAGTAATTCTTTTAAAAATATACTTATAAAAAATTACCTATTAAAATTAATGTGCGGTATAAATTATTACTGAGTAATTCTTTTAAAAATATACTTGTAACTTGTTTTCACTTGAATAGGAATTACTTAAGTACTACAAGTGGTACAATTAAAATGACTTATTAAGTGAAAGTAAAAGAGTAAATGAAAAGGAAGGTGGGCGGCGGGGGACACATGGGTAGACGTGGCCCACGCTGAGACAATAGGGCTGCCCATGTTTCAGAAATGACACAACAGAAGAAGATGGATGTAGCCTTTTTTAATTACCAAACTGCCCTCCCCCCTTTCCAATTTATAATAGCTACTATTTAGTTAGTTGTTTGGGTGTGTGTGGGACCATTCAAGTTGAATAATTTATTTATTATTTTATTGCACATCAAATGTACATGATGGGTGATTACCTTAAAATTATCTAAAAGTTTAGGGACTACTAGTGTAATTTACCTTAATCTTTTGACATTCTTACACGGATCTTATTAAAATAAAGAGACGAAAAAAAGGACATAATTATATATGATGGGTGATTACCATTATTATATTTATTTATTTATGATTATATAATTTGTAGTTGCGCTTACTGCAGCTCCGAGGAAGCTGTAAGTGCCTAGTCCGAGAAAACCAACCCCACCACTTTCTCCTTCTCTACATCTATCAGTCTTTCTTTGTTTTTTTGACCACACAACATTTCAAATCATGACTCGGATTGTACTCGACTCACTTCGTCAAAATGCCGAGGATCACACTACTCGTATTTGGCAACGACAGCCAAACGTGATTCATTTCATGTATGTTTGTTTGAGGCTGAGTCGATAATAATAACAACCAATGAAAACTACACACGTACGTAGCCATGGCAGTATATAAATCATCTTTACAGTGAAGAAGCAATTATCTTCACTCGTTCCTCCTTTTTATTCTTCTCGTTTGTCTCCTAGTCAAGAAGAATATCCCTATCAATATCATTACCCCCATCTCCATCATATATATATATATCTACTACTACTACTACTACTATTCATCCTTCTATATAGATCTCTTTGCTTTTGGTTTTCTTTTTTCTTCGTTTTTTTTCTGGTTTAGTTCTTCTAATTGGTATCCTGCACGCATGTCTATCACTGCTATAACTGTTATATTTACATAGGTCCTTCGACACAAGATATATTGTGTTGTATTTTTACGTAATCATTTACGTAGCATTCATTTATCTGTATATTCATATCAAAGAGCATCATATATAGCATGCATCAGACATGCAAATTTAGTCATGCAATGTATACAGATACGTATTTCACCCTCACTTCGACAGTTCCTCAGCTGTAAAAGCTCTTGCGCATTACTAACACGTATGTATATTCCCACATTTAATGATCCTCGGATATTTAACATTTCGCCAGATTACATTCCTTAATTTCAACATATATATGTATATACATATCCACATTTTACTTCAAAATATTCAAAATATATAGAGAGAACTGGTGATTGATCATAATCCCTATGCCATTCATTAATGAAATTGACATGAACAGCCGTTGTTCGCATGCAAGCCATTAGATAAAATTCTTGATATAAGGACACTTTAAACTCTGCCCTTTGTCAGGTTTATTCAAGGATTTTGCTTATATATTATATTATCTGTCTTTCTAATAACTTTCTAGTTGCCGAAGCAGAAATCTCGAAAACTGTGAAAAGTTTGTTCAACTGTAAGTGAAATGAAAAATAAATACAAACTATGACATCTCAAACGCTAAACTTGCACAGAATCTATTAAAACTCAAACTGCGATTATTTTAGCTGTTGCATATCGTCTTGAAGGCTGAAATCTTATATCAGTGCATAGTCATGGAGAAGCTCAAGATTCAGTACAAGTTTGATATGAGACCTGCTGATGCCCAGCGCAGACCATCTAATAATTTCCCATACACCCAAAGCTGCTAAGACAAACTCGGATAATAATAAACAGAAGGTCTGAGATGGCCACTTGAGGATGATGCAGCCATAAGAGGAGCCCGCTGTGGCACACTGGAACGTTCTGAAGTGTAATCCCACCGAAAAGGAACTGTATTGGCTCGACCAGAAGGGATTGTATTGAAGTTATTATTTTGTACCATGGTTAGGTCACCTCGTAAAGTGTCTTCCAGCTTATAACGAGAAAAAGGATTCATGTGCCATACACTATGATTAGGAACTAATGGCATTGAAAGGCCAGCTGGTATCAGTGAGCTTTCCCTCAAGCCTTCAAAATGCTTGGCAATGTCGGAAAACTTGTTTGTTTCACTTTCAGTAGAATCATCAATCACAATTACTTCTTTGGAAATAGCAGAATCACCGTTCCTACGTTGGTAGTCTAGAGTTGTGACTTTCTCCATAACCGGACCTGGCTTCTTCTTCAGTCTGCTCGGTCGAGCTGGCATGTTATAGTCACCTGCATATTTGTAGAGCTCCATGGAGGTTGTCAGACCACATTCCATACGTTCATCAAAAAACACACCAGCTGGAAATTGTCCTTGTGTCTGCAGTGTTCCCAGATTTGCATGGTTTCTATAGCCATTTGTTAATTGGACATCAAAAGGTTGCCCTGCCAAATCTTTTGGATGCTGATCAAATATTAAAGAACTCCGAGGCATTGTCTGATGGAAGGGTATTCCACCTTGATTCCCAATATTGCTTGTAGTCAATCCATACGAAGTTGGAAACTTGGGGGTTAGATGAATACTCTGACCAAGTGGCACAGATGTGTCTTCCTCCTTGTTAACCACCATTAAGTTCTTTCCCATCAACCTGAGAACGGGATTAGAAGATGGGGTAGCAGGATCACAGTTACTGCGATCAGAAAGCTTGACCCCAGCACCAGGGAATCCTTCAAAAGCAATGGAACCTGCAGGAGGTTTCATGACAGGTACAGCCATTTGTTCGGATCCTAAACCCGCACTACTGCCCAGAGAGTTTGTTTCTGGTTTTGCATCCATGTTATCAGGACTTGTATTTTGATTGGCAGAAATTTGCATTCCCATGGTAGGGACCATCATCGAAGCCGTCGCCCGTCGCCTTAGTAGTTGCGGCTCCTGATAATTTAGGGCAAAACCCTGGTATGATCTGTCTTTTCTCTGACACGAGCATGGCTGATCATCATTTTTGAAAATCAAAGATCTCGTTTCAAGAGACGTTCTATGCTCTCTAGACTTCTCTCCTCTAAAGGTTCTTTCTAGTCCTGCTCTTGTATAGGGAAATGCAGCACCGTTTTCAGCTAAAGGCTCATATTTGGCTGTAGAGCAGCCAGACCTATAATTTTCTAGCATTGCAGGATCACCGAAAAATGCTAATGGTTCGGCAAACTTCGAATCTGACCTGGCTTCCAGAGAATTAGAGATTGTAGACACTACAGATATGGGTGAATCTGATGATTCCCCATCAATTAAATCAAGCTGATCCTGAGAGGACTGAATTCGGCTGATGGTCATTGACGAATTCCCTTGAAAATCATCAGAGCCCATGGCCCTAGGACTAGGCAAAAATGATCCTGGTGGACCAGGAATAGGTATCGGATCAACCTCAGGAAAAGAGTTCAATTGTGCCACATCAGAATCCAAATCTCCTCCCATATTACCTGTTTGTCCAATAATATTATGGCTAACTTCAGCACAAAACATGTGCGGTTCACCAACAAAACTTGGATCTGTAAGGTCAGCCAGTCCTTCACCCCCACACAAAGGCCCACTGTAATCCTCATGAGTCTGTATAGAATTGGACCTATTCTCGGAAAGATTACTCAATTTGTTAGACTTGGTTTCTACTGAGTGACTCAAACTAGTGACAGTCTCCTCAAAAGATTCCAAGCCATCAGCTTTATCCAGAGTATTCTCACTTCTTGCAGAAGAATCAGTGTTTTCCGTCTCATCAGAAGAAGAAGAATTAGGTGCCGAATGTATGCTCAAAGCCATGCATTCCTCCCTACTGGAAATACTTTTTCTTCTTTGTTCTCCGGATGGGGCTCCTTGGATGCTGCTTCCTCCAAATGACATTTCTTCAGTAATCTCTTTCCTTCCAGGTTGATTTTCGGAACTATCATGCACCAAGTCACATTCTTGATCAGTCTCAGGACCCCAGGATACATCTTCACCGATTTCTTCCATAAAACGCAGTCGACTTTCCGTCACTAAATGATTCTTAACCAAGTTTGACCCAAATTTACCCATGGAAGACCTGTTGCTAGCAGACGACATATTTTTCTTTGGTGAGGATCTGAAGCGTTTGAATGCAAAAGAATGGCCATCATTTGCATCATTATCAACCATCTTGCTCAATGAAGATGAACAATTTCCACCAGTGCTCAAAGATTTCACCAAATGATCATTCCCTAGATGGGAATGGTCTTTGTTCAAGTGATTTTCATTTTGCTTATGTGATCTTAGCTCCACCTTGTTACGGATTCTTGCTCCACACAAGGAACTCCTTACTCTCTTTCTTCCAAAAGAACGCTCTTTCTCATTCATATCTGGGGCTTCATAAACTGGCTTCTCTCTCTTCTTACATTTTTCAGAAGAAGAAATTGCAATTTCAGATGAACTTTTTAACCTGCGAACAAAATTTCTCTCTGCAATAGGATCTCCTTGATGTGGTTGATCCCTCTGAACCTGCAACTCCAGGAAAACATTCCGTCTGCAAACCGAAGGTTGATTTCTAGCTTGATTATTAGGCTTCCTTGAAAGACAATCTTGTTTAGAGCACACCCTTTCCCTAAAGCTTCTAGAATCACTGGATTTGATTTGCTTTGGCACATCTGGTCCATCGCTCTGTAAAGTATTTGCTACTCCATGGTACCCTTCTAGACCTCCAACCATCTGCTGAAAAACATTATAGCAACTGTTAAATATTTTACATCAAGAACACCTTTTTATACCCTATTATTATTCTAGCAGCATGTGAGTAAAAAAACATGGAATGTTTTCAACTACTAAGGGCATATAAGACTGTTTATTTTTCAATCAAAAAATTACTTGTGTTTTCAACTATGTTACTCGGGCTTGGGTAAAAAAAAATATTTTCTTTTTCTACTTGGAAGACCATTGGAGGTTATATCTCCGAACGTATTTGTTGGATGCAAACATTGGGCATAAGAACTTCAAGAGAAATGAAGAGTTCGGGCAACATAGGCTTCCAAAGGGATTTAAAAAGATAACCAATCAGCTATTCAACATCAAATACAGGCAGAAAAAATCTTCAAAAGCACCCAAGAAAGAAACATAAAATAATCTGGTAAAAGGGCAGAAGATATGGATAAGGAGATAACAAAGAGAGTATACCGTAGAAGAACAAGCCTTATGCGATAAAAGTTTTTGGCTTTGAGGAGCAAGTTTAAGATACTTGTGATGTTGTGAGGAATGTCGCCTTTTCTTTTTGGTTGAAAGGAATTTGTTTCCTTTATTCCCTTTGAAAGCTTTAATTGGTCCAGAATCATCTCCGACTTTTGACATAAGTGGAACATCATTAGACTTTGATAAAATACGGATTTTTGTACCATTGTCATCAAAATAAACAGCACCTACATCCCTGGCATTAATAGAAGAAGCCCTTAGCTTTTCCCCTTCATCAGATATTTCAAGTCTCTCAGAATCCTGGCTAAGGATCTTTGATGCAGTGACCCAGCATGTACCATTCCTCCTATCAAGTTCTTCTAAAGTGCATGGTTTAGCAGTAGCATATACATCCACTATCATTCTAATCTTCCTCGGCTTTATTCTACGGCGGGTAAGCTTAGAATCCACTGTCCACTTGGGAGTCGATTCATCAGAAAGACACTGGTCGATGTGAGCATTCAAGGTGGTATTGGAAGAGGAAGAAAAGGTTTTACAAACAGGGCAAACTTTAGAAGCCATGGATTCAGATAACATGGTAGAACTTGAAGCAATATCTTCAGTCAAGTTACGTTCAAACTGTGCACCAAATTTCACAATTAATCTGCACTTCTTCCCAGATGGTCGGGTTGCGTTTTCAGTCTTACGGGTCTTACCAGCAGCTTGAACTCCAGCTGATGCCTCCACTATTGTATCGGTTTCTAATGATAAGTCGGACTGCTTTTTAACAAGAACTGAGTCTATATCAGCTTCAGAAGCACTTGCTGTTGTGGAAGGTAAATCATTTCCACGTTCTCCTCCCGATCTGCACGAGCTACTGTCTATGCAAGTACCTGCTAGGTTATGGTTTGAGTAAGCATCATTGGATGACTCTAGTACCACATGATCGTTTGACCCAGATGGCTCGTCACCGAATTTTCTCTTAGTTTGCTTCTCAAATGGATTGGTTTCAACCACACATCTCTCTACGGTTTGGTTTCTTACAGTACCAAGAAGCTGAAATGGTGGCAATGGATCTTTCAAGCCATGCTTCAAACAAAGCTGCAAATTCCTGGGAGAAAACGGCCAATTCTTCTTGATGTCATTGCCCCGAGCAGTGAACACAAAATCTCTACAGTACAAGAAGATCTCTGTTGTCAGTAACTGGGATAAATACATAAAGAGATTTATATGTTAAAAGGGGTCAATAATAATGAAAGAAGCAAATATAGACCACTCAAGAGCTTTTCTTAGGGTAATCAAAGGTTGAAATCTAGAAGACTGATATTGTATGTTAAGTCAAGAAGGAGGGGGACACATGGACCATAACAAATACTCAAAAGAGAGAGGAAAAACATCAACAGTGAAGAAACAGCCAAGCAAAACAAAAACCCAAAAGATTCAATGATCTATTAAACTGAATTACCCCTGGGCAAAAGAGAGAAAAATGGAAAGCACTCTCTGCATGAAATGGTAAAGAGTGGACAAGTACACAACTAGCTGCAAAGAGAAATAAAAGAACTTCCCAGAAGTTTGCTCCCAAAAATAAAATCACATGTCCATAGTGACGTGAAATCAGAAGTAAGGGCCAAAAGTACCCCTCCCAACCCACTTCCCCCAGACCAAAATAGGGGCAAAGATTTGGTGTGTGTCAATATTTTAGGTTCCCATGTTGAACTGAGTCACCGGGTAACATAAAACTCTGGATCTGACCCAACAGATGTCTTACGACGAGATCAAAGGAAAGCTGTTAGAATCCATAAGAGAAAAAAGCATGAAGTTTACTGTTCCTCCTCAAGTTTAAGAGAGAACTAGATTGAATGAAAAGAAGTCAAAATCAAACTTAGTTAAATTATATTATATTACCTTATGGAGAACTTGGGGAGTGGGGTGTGATGCTGATGCTGATGATTATCGAGAAACGGCTTCTTTAGCAGATCTACCTCAGGCAAGGGGAGCTTGTGAGGAAGCCTCTCAATCTCACCACCACCACTTTTCAGCTGTACTACAACTTGGCAGGGATGTGGGGGATCTGATGGAGGGTTTTCAATGGATAACATCTGATGAAAAGCTTCTCTCTTCTTGTGCTGTTTTCACAACAGTCACAAGCTACACTTAGACTGCTTCTTTCTTCAACGGTAGAGCGCCTTATTTTCAGCATAACACTTTCCCCTCTGATCTCTTCTTCCTCTCTTCGGTTGTATCTCTTGTCATTTTTTTCACAAGATCAAACGATATCCCACTCGCATCTTCGTTCATTCATAGCCTGCAGCAATAGTAGAGAGAATTAAGAAGATGGGATGGTAATAAGAAGAGTTTGTAGAAAGACCCAACTGAGAAAGATGGAGAAGATCAGGCAGTGAAAGAACGTTATTTTATGTGAAAGGAAAGGAGTGTATTCGAAGCATGTGCGTTTTGGTTCATCAAGGAAAGCAAAGAACATAACCCGCAAGGAATGATTTTGCTCAAAGTTCATGGGGGAGCGTTATTTTATGTGGGCAAACCCAGAGAAGTGAAACGTATCAAGAAAATGACCAAATCCCATAGAAAAAAAAGGCAAACCATAATTAATTAGAAAATAGAGAATAAAGGGGAAGATTAATACATGTAAATCGGAGATTTTTTGAAGCCGGGTAAGAAATTGAACGAGGCAGCAAGCAAAAAAAGCTGCATGAAATGAAACGAAGGAAGAGATGACTTTATCAAACAAGAAGGAAAAAAAAAACCCAAATCTGAAGCGTACAGTAGAACAGATCCCATGAAGGAAATCTAGTTTTAAGCTCACAGACTAGATTCTCCTTCTTGTTAACCTTGGGACTAAGCAAGAAAAGAACCCAGGAGCTGAGAAGACAAAGGGGATGGGAGAAATCATATGTAAACATATATAGTAAATAGTTCTTTTGGAAAGTTGAAGAACCTAAGTGAAAAAAAGAAGAATTCAAAACAAGTGAAGCTTTTGCTTTGAACAACAGCAAGCAGGACGGATGTAGAAGAAGAGAAAACTAGGGCAAAAGAGATTACCTTTGGGGAATTTTGATTGAAGGCAAAAAAAAAAGTTTTGAAAGGAAAGAGATTTCGTTTGGGAAGAGAAAGAAAAGGCAGGAAGAAAATGAGAGATGAGAGAAAGTTTTATGGTAAAATCAGAACCACCCACTCACACATCAAAAGGGGGCATCAGATTCCTTCCCCTTCCCTTCTTTTCCTTACCACTTCCACCCCTTAATTAAAATAAATAAATAGATGGAAGAAAAAACAAGCAAAAGTCTGCAGTGCCATTCCATTCGAGTCAAACAGTTAACAAAGAAAGAGGAGAGAGAGGGCAAGTTTTCTCCGGATAAACAATCAATTTACTCACTCTACTATTATAATATTTATGTTTTGGTTACTAAAGCTTTTTCTTTTTGCAAATTTGTTATTAATGTTATGTTAGGTTCCAATTTATTAAATTAATATATATATATTTTTAAATTAATCTGAATTAAATATAAAGTAATATATGTTTAAAGATAACTCTTAATCATTTGACATTTAACGTTCATATCCCTAATATTTATAATGTTCGAATCTAGAATCTCAATAAATAACAACAATAATTTTCCCACTGATATTACTTAGTTTGGACATATTTTTAAATATTTAAATTAAAAGTTATTAAGTATTTTAAATTAAAATCAAATTAATAAATTTAAAATATTGAAGATTATATTTATTAAAATTTTAATTAATAAAATATATAATTTTTAAAAACTAAATTTATTATTATATCAAATTATATGATTATTTAATCAAAATTTTATAGACGATAAATAAATTTTTTTTTCAAATTCATTTGTTTGAAAAATAACCAAAAATCTTTGGGTAAACAAACAAAAACGAAGCTTTGTTTTGTCTCCCAAAAATAATTATTTAATTGTAGATATTTTTTTCTGCATCCATCTCATGGCTGAAATGTGGTTTTTAAATTGAAACGCGCTCTCTTCTTTTTCTGCAAATACCAAACGCAACAACACTTCTTAGATTAGGAGCTACACAAGTCGAAGAAAATCGAAACACATCCACTACACGACAAACTCTCCTTGTCTTCGTCTTCACGTTCACCATTGTTTTCCATTATATTATGGGTAAACTATAAATTTAGTACTCAACTATCACTTTTATTCTGTTGTAGACATCTAATTATATTTTTTCAAATTTATACCTAATGTTATGTTTTGGTGTGATATTTTTTCAATTATAATGTAACATTATCTTACGGTGACACGTTAACATTATTAAAATATATTAATTAAAATTTTAACACCCAAATGTAAACAATCACTCCACACTACCAACAATGATTTGTTAATGTATATTTCTAAAATGTTCAATTGAGTTTGACGTGTAAGTTGAAAACGTATACAAAAATTAAAATATAAAATAAAATTATAAAAGCAAATTTTTTAATAAATAACTATTTTCATATTTTATTAAATTATTTTTGTATTTGTTTTTTTTTTTATTTTAAAAAGTTTTCTATTCAGATTGAATATCCTGTAACTCAGTAACACTAAACCTAGTCAGAAAATTAAATGTAATCGTGTGTATATTACAAACGCGCAAACGAATGTCCGTGAGATCCAGTTGGTGCTGGCCTCTTGGGTTTTTTTCTCTTATTTTTTTAAAAAAAATCCTAGGAATTTAATGTATATGATCCTTTGGAACTTTCTTTCCTTTTTAGGAAGATCCTTTGGAACTTCATGAAACCAGTTGGGGATTAATTGAGTTGTGACCCACTGCATATCATACAATAACATTGCTCATCAAGTGTATGTACGTTGTTAATAAATAAAAATGATTCTAAACAAATAATACAGTGTAATCATCCTATACTATTAAAAAAATAAAATTTGCTAAAAGCTACATATCATCTCAAATTTCATATTTCTTGGCTCCATAATGTTGAGTTTGATTCTCATCTCATGTCAGTCGAACTCAGTTCTGATATTCCTTACCTGGTTAGCCTTGGATTCCACAGCAAGATGATAAGAATCGCATATCAATGCCAAAGCAGAACAGGAGAACTGCAGCTGTTGTGCTTGCAGATTTCATGAAAGGCTTTAAATAAAACAAGGCAAGTTTCTGTGTCTCAAAACAAAATGGAGACAAGCTTCTGCTCCTTTAAATTCATGAACCTATCCTTCCTTTGCATGGAAATGGAATGTTGGACTCAATTCTCCTCTAAATACAAGCAGCAGCAGCAGCTAGCAGATTGATAGTTTGTTTAAACAAAACAATATAAGCTTTGTTCATTTCTACATTGATGATTTGCTCGAAATTACGCATGAACTTGAGCTCGAGCTCAAACACAACTAGATAAAATTTGAGGAGCACCATTTTATCACCTTCAAGAGTCCTGCAAATTCAGAATATATGTTGTGGTACAAGCAGTACTGTAGCTCATCCTAATTACCCTCTCAAGCTCTAGAGTCAAAAACCTTACAAAATTTACTTCTGAATAGTATCACAATATACAAATACATTCATACACAATATATTGATCAGGGCTTAGTAGGACTTGCCATGAGAGTACAATTGCACGTCAGAAATTGTGAGAGTAACGATTTATCTCAATCAGAATCATTCTCGCTCAAAAATTGCTAAGTTGGCTACATAGACTTTCAGTAATTCCAGTGACTAATGCTAACATACTAAGTGGTATTTCACTGATGCACAATTGTAGAATCAGAACGGCTTTTCATACTCCTGCGCTGGTGTTTGCTCCCATGCCGGCAAAAAGCCTGTAAAAGATCATCAAAGGGTTCTCAGGGTCAAAAAATAAATGAATTGAAAAGGATGAAAAGAATTCACAGCATAAGAATATTTAGTTAGAAGAGGATATACATAATTTAACCTATTTTTGCCAATAATAAGACACTAGCAGCAAGCGCTTATATTAAAATGCAATGCAGAATTAATAATGGGAAAAATATCCCAAGGCCAAGAAACCAACGGAAATGTTTTTTGAACTAATGAAAACCCCGGGCTACCCTAAAACTTATTCATGCAAGTTTGCAGCTATTCCAGGATGTTCTTACTCTTAGAAAGCCTTCTATGGGAGGAAACTTCTCCCACCACACATCTTAGCACCTGATTTACATAAAATAGAAAAGAAAATCCAAAATTAGCATAACCACGGGGTCATTGCAAAACCCTGGAGCCTGAGAATTCATTTTTGTTCTGGTTCACCAAGGAAAATGGAGAGGAAGAAAAGCCACCGCAGGAGATACAATAAAGACTTGACCATTTATTTTATTTCCAAATCAAACCTAGGGGAAAGGAAGTTTGGATATAGAAAGTTGGTCACTATATTGTTGATTTATCACTTGAATAAAATTTCCCAATTTCAAGTAACCTCCCCTTCAATCAATGAGACAAACATGAGATTCTAGCTTTTCCATTTTGTATCCCCCCTACTTTTTCTTTATCAAATGATTCTTTCTTATTTTTCCATACAAAACTGACAAATAAGCTATCTAGCATCTAGACATCTTGCTTGTACATATAAGAAGTTTCATAATCCTTGCACAATAACAATTCTTTCAAATCATAAAATGCAAAAAGTTTTTATACTCGATGATTCCTTTAGCACACACCAGCTGGTTCTACAGGTACCCTCTTGGTAACATCCGATGCTGAGCAAGTACATTTGTACTCTTTCAGAAAACATCACTTGATTTCTTTTCAAAGGACTTCTACTAAATCAATAAAGTTGGTGTAATTTGGTGACAAATACCAATTTAATCCCTTTTGGCAAATGCAGTATATGAAATGGTAGCAGTTAAAGGAGAAACGAGAAGTAAATTTTCTGCGTCTTACAATGAATAAAAAACAAAGCAGTTTCCATGTATTTTTATTTCTTTTCTCCAGCAGCTTTTTTAAACATATATCATATTTCCGCAATATTCGGTTGATGCATGAATATACAATGTATTAAATTACATTTCAAGCGAAACAACAGATCAGACAGGTCAACCACAGACAGCAGCTACAAGAAGGAAACTATAAATTAAATAGGAGACATACTTAATGGTATTTCTCCCAGGGACATGTAAATTGAGTCGTCATCTGTGAGAGTTCCCTGAAGGAAAAAAAAGCCAATAAATTACTCATCAAGCAAATGCTTAACTTATTCAACTGAAATGCTTTAGCATAGCTATTCTTTCAAAAAGTAGTTAGTAATAATCAGCATCACAATATCAGTTTTTTAAGAAACTTAACATTTAGGAACACTCAATTTTTTTGTTAAAATTGATTAAGGTTAGGTATCAAGATTCCAGGGGTAAATAACATAAGATTTGTATATAGAATGAACATCCTACTCAATGCAGTTAGTGTTGTACCTCTCCATTATGAAGGCCCATGTCATTCTGTAAAGGATTGACGTCCTCAGTCTGCAGAGTGTTAATGTTTTCATTTTGTAGAGGGTGAGCATTGATATCATCTGGGGGGCAATTCGAAAAATTTCTGAGGAACTCTGTGATCATA